GAGTGACCTAAGCAGCCTGAAGGCTTCCGTACTGTCATCACTGTGGGCAGCCATGAAACGGCTCCTCACGAAGGGAATGAACAGGAAATGACCACCATCACCACCATCCAATGAACACCGATAACCAGGGCGGCAGGCGACAGGCTGAGATTGCAGCGTCTGAACGTCCGATCAACAGCCACGTTGCCATGAACCACTCCCGCAGCTCATGCGCGAAACACCATGAAATTATAAATAAATCCAATTTTGTCGAAACGAACAGAAGTCAGCCGTAGGTCACCACAGCGCCGGGTGACCAGCCAGGCTCGACAGGTCCACGTTAAAGCCGTCGGTCCACGCCTCCGACCATAGCGAAGCAAATCCGCCGGCCGGAGCAGACGGCGTGGGGGGGATGCCAGAAGGGGTCGGCGGGACGGCAGGCTCCCACGCGTTGGAGCCCCAGCCGGTGGGCGTGGGACACGGAGCAGCGGCGGGAGTTGCCATCGAGTACATGTCTGCGAACATTGACGGAGCTGTTGCGGCGACGTTCGCGACGTCGACGAGAGGCGGAGCTGCTGTTCGTTTCTGGATAGCTGACGATTGTTGCGGCTGCTCGTGTTGCTGCGACTGCAGCTGCTGCGGCTCCGCGTGCTGATACTTCTGCTGCTGCTGCTCACGTTGTTCCTGATACTGCTGCTCCTGCTGTTGAAGCGGCTGCCTATCAACGGCTTGTACCTGCGGCAGTTGCTGCTGCTCCTGCTCCTGCTGCGGCTGCGCTGCTTCCTCCTCATCCACACCAAATTCCATCAGCAGCTCATCAATAAATAACTTATCGTCCAATTTCTCGGCTCCCACATCAGCACCTGGAGCAGCCACTGCAGGCTTCACCTCCAGAGGATCCGAGAAACCAACGGGAATTTTAACCGTTGGAGGAGCGGGACGCGCTTTGGGACAGACCGACGAAACCATTTCCGCCTCCCACTGGAGAATTTCGGAAAGGCTGAGCTTCTTTTCGTGCTTGGCGTCCTCTTGCTGCTGCATCTGAATGCGGAAGTCAAGCTGCTGAGCCATCTTGCTCCGCTCCCCCTGAGCAGGCTTATCTGGAACGGCTTCTGTCGGCTGATTCCGTCCCGGCGCCGGCGGCTCGGCGACGACGTACTCTCCTCGTAACGACGATGCAACGGCTCTCACCCAATCCGAAGCGGCATCATGGAAATTGAAGTTGACAGCTCCGTTGGGAGCGAAACGCGAAGATGGCGGTGGGTGCTGAGAAGCGGTGACACACCCAGAAGAGTGAGCAGGCCGAGAAGAAAGCGTGGCATTCTGAGGAGTAGGAAGCGAGTCATTCTGAGAATCTCGGCGCATCCCACGGTTGGTGGTGGTGCACGCACGGACCAAACGAGGAGCATCCGACGGCTGACGAGACGGTGCAGATGATGTATTGCAACGGACCAAAGCAGGCTCGGAACGATGCTCGGACCGAGGCATGAGAGTTGCCAGGTCGGGGAGAACGAGAAGCTTCGTGGAAGAAGTGGAGCCGGTAGGTGCTCCGGATGAGACGGGAAGGGTCCTTGGCTTGAGCCGAGGTGGCTCGGATTCGCACTGCTTTCTCTTTTTCAGATTCGGGATGGCAATCGGCTCTTGGCATTCTGCAGGCCACCCGTTGGAGCCGAACCATTCCGATGGAGCTTCTTTCGTCTTAGCGGCTACTCTAAGCGCATCCATGAAGCTCATGCACGCCATATTAGTAGACTTGAGTGTCAGATTAAAGAGCTAAAGTTTCGCCTCACCTATGCTGGCTGACTGGAAGGGTCACGAGTCTTAAGTAAGACCGCGAGAGGCGGTGATAAATAATAAAATAAATTGGAGAAACAGAAGCAGGAGCGAAGTGGGAGGAATCAAGGGAACTGCTGCATGAAACTCAGACGAAAGCTGACCACAGCTAGAGATTCCAGTGAAGCTCACTAACGTTACGGGCAACAATAATCAAACCCTAGGCCTTGAATGGTCGGCAGGGCATCTCAACTGCATAGACTTGGCAGGTCTCTTCACTCGTCTAGAAGCAAGTTGCTCGTTCTAAAATGGCAGGCAATCTCGGGGAGACATGTGTGGATTGGATAGGTGGGTGGAATTGTAAGCTGAGGTCGACGGGAAAGGGAAACCTGATGAAGCGGAGAAGAGAAGAAAACGGCAGAATGCTGAAGAGAGGATGCTGTGCTGAGGTGAGAGTCTGAGACAGGCGGGTGGAGAGGAAAGGAGAGAGGAAGGAGATGAAAGAGGCAGGCGAGAGGAGAGGTGAGGAGGGGAGAGGAGAGACTGGGAGGGGGAGGGTAGAAGTGGTTGGACCGAGCCAAAGGAAGAGGGGGAGAGGAAGGAGGGAAGGGCGGCAAGGCAACCAGTTGGTTCGGGAGATTTCTCCCCCACTAGACGAGGAGGAGAGAGGTGCGGAACGGTTGGCGGGTGCGAGGGATATTCTCCGCGCGCTACTTGCACCATGATTCAGCGCAGGGAGACCACACAAACAGGCGCGGGGACAGGGAGGTTGTGATGCGGTGCGGAGCTTAGTGTTTGCCGCGCATGCTTGAGGTGGTTTGTTGGTTGGTGGGGGCGCGGATGGAGGGTGCAGGTAAGGGGAGGCGAGGGGGCGTAGGGGGATGTGTGGTTCGGGAGATGCCTGGGTCCTGGGCACTGAGAGAGGAGGTTGGGGGAACGGGGTTATACAACCAGGCTCGGCTACTGTATTGGGTTTGAGGGACGAGACGGATGTCCTGGTCGAAAAAAAACGTTCGAGTGGATGGAACGGTACAGTGACAACGCGCGTGCACCTTGCGGAGCTGCCCTGGAAAAATGTGTTTGCACAGCTGCCCTTGCGTTCGGCCAACTTGTGGTGGGAATGCTGAGGGTTAGTGAAACTGCCTCGAGCCTGTCACGAGCAGCTGCCTCGTCATTGATGGCGTTCTGTTACTGTTAACACAAGCAAAGGCAAATCACGTGGTGTTTTATCAGGTGCATACTCAGGTGGTACAGTTGACGCACAAATGTTTGGAAGATGCCCAGCATGCCACACTCCAGTTCGCAGCCACAATTGCTGGCCAGAGACAAAGAAAATATTTATGGGTGACCGAAACGCTAGTGCACGGGCTACGGGCGGGTGCCGATGGTTGGTGAGGTGAGCTGGTGGAGGCGAAGGTGAAACCAAGATCGTTCTTTTGGCGGCTGTTCGGTTTCTTCCTTCCGCGGTCAACGAAACTCACTGTCCGGCAAGGATGGTTACGCACAGGCGGACAAACGTAATTGACCGTCGATCTGAGGCTGGAGAAAGTGGCATTCTAGAACGTGATTGGGCCTGGAAGAAATGCTGTCAGCAGGATTCGCGACGAAGCGAAATCTTGCCTGCCATCAGATTCTAGCTGTCAGCAGCACTCACAAGAATGCACCCACCACAAGAGGCCCCCTTGGTAAGCCAATGGACCTAGACATGTGTTTTAGATAGAGACTAAGTTCTTGCAAAACTGCTGTCTGGAAGACACATTGTTCGAAGAATCTTAGCCCATACTTAATGCATGAGTTGTTCAGGTTTTCTCTAAGAATCAAAGGTTCTGAAAATACATGTAGCGTATAGTGGTTCTCTTGCTAGGAAAGCATCTATGGTATTTCTCACACTGCATGTACCTCACTCTTTATGCTGGTTAACTCATGGTACCGTAACAGAAATGTGTCAAACGACGTTGAGGTACACCGTACACATTGCAAGCGCATGGATGAATTGGACTGTAAAATGAGAATGCGAAAGCATCACGTATTAATCAAGTAAACTAGGATCATGAAAATGACTCCCATTCATCCATTTCACCAATCTAAAGTGCCACGGCATTTGGATACCAAAATACCTATCATAAAATGCATCCCTCACCTTCTTGGGCCCGACTATTTTCCTGGGGCAGTTTTTGAACATTGGTCGTTTCTTCAAAATATCTGATCCCTTTCTAACACCCAAGTCGTCGTCGGCATAATCGATGAATCGTGCCGAGGTGGAAGTAACATTGATATGCCGATGGGTGTTTAGCTTTGGAACATTCGGCAACTGCTCACAGTAACGGTAATTCATGTCCGCATCTTGCACATCGACCAGAACCAGGTCGATGTAATTATTTGTGGGCAGCCCGCTGCACTTGCCTGTCTGCGTGTCCTTTAAGGTGCCCGGCGCTTTTGTGTTACAGTTAACCCCGTTAATAGAAGTCTCGGAACAAGTGTTCTTCATCCAGGGCCATCTCTGAAAAGGATGCATTCAACAAGGGGGACAAAATTGGTGAAACAACAAGCATAGCGAATACACGTTGATATTTGAGGTGTAGCACAGGTTGGACTGTGTAACGGGCTGGAGAGCTCACAGATTATTGCATAAAAGCGGCTCAGCAAGATTGAGATTATATGGACAAAGCTTCATGCTATGCTAGAGTATATACTAGTTGACATATTTGAAAAATGACCTCTGTTATGAGGGAGACACCGCCCACCTGCTGAAACGCGGCACTACTGTATTACTTGGCTCGCATGCGGTCCCAGTAGTTGCCGGGGTACTTGAAGCAGTTGCACACGGTGCTACAAGATTACCGAGTTGGCTTATAAGGGGTACACGACCCACCTGCTGGAAGGGAGCACTGCTGTAGTACTTGGCTTGCATGCGGTCCCAGTAGTTTCCCGGATCTTTAAGGCAGTTGCACACAGTGACAGTGAGGCATGCGCACCACCCTGGCGTGAGCTCCGTGCCCTTCATCACCACATGCTGAATGCGGTTCCTGCCAGGCAGAGCAAGGATGGGAAAGCGCTTTGGATGGTAGTAATTGAGGAACATGGCACTCTAAGAAGAGAAGCTTGTAAGAAAAGAAGCATGCACCGACCGAACGACCTGTGTGTTGTGATGTGCTAACCTAACCATCGTCTACTTGAATTTGCTAACCTAACCATTTCCCTTGCTGACTCACCATTTCCCCTGCTGACTCACCATTTCCCTTGCTGACTCACCATTTCCCGTTGTTGACCTTCATGCCATCCACCGTCCCGATACAAGCCCCTCCGCGTATAGTCACACCCGAGCTGGCGTAATCCAGGTAATAGCAGTGGTCACCCCCGATTATGTAGTTGCACTCCGCCAGATTACCCGGGTTATTCCAGTGCGTTACGTAGTATATCCCCGTCGCATCACCCCCGCCGGTGAGATTCCGGCCCTTAGCAACAACGAGGTTATTTGAAATGGAGGTGAGCATGCAATCGCCCTGGGAAGGGATAGAATGGGGTTTGGAGAGATTGAGATGGTTAGTGTGGGTCAATTCAACCCTTAGGCTCAACGAGGTTCTCTGATCTGAGATGGTGTGGAGCATGCAGTTGCCCTGGGAGGGAGGGGAGAGGATGGGCGAGGGCAGGATGGAATGGGAGACGTTGAGGTTGCTTCCTGCTGCCACAACGAGGTTCTCTGATCTGATCTGAGATGGTGTGAAGCATGCAGTTGCCCTGGGAGGGAGGGGAGAGGATGGGCGAGGGCGGGAGGGAGGGAACGGGAAGGAGTGGGGGGGTTTGGTGACTAAGGCTTCGCACATGCGCGTAACATGCTCGCGAATCGTCGTAACATGCACACTTTCCTTGCAACTTCCCCAATGCCTTTGTAGCAACTGCTCTCACCTGCAAGTGGACCATGCCATGTTGCCACATGTGATGGCAGTCCCACACGTAGTCATGCACGTGATTGCTCTTCAACACCGCCCCCACCGTGCCCACGTGTGTTTTGAGCCGACTCAAAAGAATCACCACCTTTCACCTGCAAGTGCACCCTACTGTGAGGCGCCTGAGTCACCATCTCTCACCTGCAAGTGAACCATGTTGCCACATGTGATGGCAGCCCACACATAGTCATGCACATGGTTGTTCTTGAATACCGCTCCCACCACACCGAACTGAAACAACACTGGCAGGTACGCACCTGGTAGGGTGGGTTGGAGAGGGGTGGAGAAGAGTGGAGAGGGATAGACAGGGGTGGAGAGGGGCAGGTATAGTGCACAGAGGGATGGCAGCCCAGACGTAGTTGTGCAAGTGGTCGTTTGAATTTTTTTCATTGTTGGTGATGTGGATGTATGTAGGGACCCGTACGAGAGCATACCACACCGCACCACACCTTACCACCGCACACCACCTCACACCACTCCACACCACACACCACACCATACACCATACACCACACCGCACCATGGTATGTATTCAAACCCTCCTCCCACCCCAGAGCTGACTTCATTGTTGGTGATGGCAGATGTATGTGCGCACCAACAGGGGCATGTACAGTACCTTGCCAACCCACCCCACACCATACCACACCACACCACGCCCCATCATCTCCTCATACCATAGATGTCATTGTTGGTGAAGCAGATGTATGTGCGCACCAACAGGGGCATGTACCGTATCATGCCACACTGCACCTTGCCTCACCACACCACACCCCATCCACCTACCATAGATCTCATTGTTGGTGACGTAGACATAGCAGCGCACCAGCAGCGGCCCATACCCCGACAGCATCACTCGAATCACCCCGTTGCCCCTCTTGAAATCAGACACTGCAGTCATCTTCATGCTGTCAATGCGGCTGTGCATTGTTCGAATCACATCCACTCGGCCGAACGTGTATCCCTGGGATTGGTTGGGGAGGGGAGGGGAGGAGGGGGGGGGGGGATATGGCAAGAGAAGGGTGGAGGGTCGAGGGGATTTAACAAGGCATGAAGGTGTGTGTATGCGCATGCGCATGCACTCAAGACACACGTGTGTCATGTCAGACTCAACTTGACGATCTGAACGCCTTAGGAGCAGTAGATGTGGGTGGATGAGAGGGCTCAAACGCTTATTTCCCTGACGCACTATCAGCCTTTGCACTCGCGATTAGCAGACCCACTGAAACAATTTAAACGCCGGAGAAGCAGTAGATGTGGATAAGAGGGTACACATGCTGATTGCCCTGGGGAACTATCAACCAGTGTACTCGTTACTAGCAGACTCACCTTGACGATCTGAACGCCGTAGGAGCGGTAGACGTGGATGAGAGGGCAGATGATGTCTGTTCCCACGTCAGGGATCTCCCTGGGGCATGGCTTTGAGTAGGCTCGGAACGGCTGTGACATCTGTGAGTGAGGGGGAGGAGGGAGGGCAATATAGAGGGGAGCGGAGAGGAGATTTGAGGGGAGAGGAGAGGGGCGAGGATGAGAGGGCAGATGACGTCTGTGCCCACTTCAGGGATTCAAGAAGTGTTTTGAGACGTGTCAAAACACTTGTTCAATCAGATGACGTCTGTGCCCACTTCAGGGATTGAAGAAGTGTTTTGAGACGTGTCAAAACACTTGTTCAATCAGATGACGTCTGTGCCCACTTCAGGGATTTTCCTGGAGCATATGGGTGAGTAGGCTCAGAACGGCTGTGACATCTGCATGTGGGTGGGGGGAGAAAGAGGGACGAGAGGGAAAAGAGGGAAAAGAGGGAAAAGAGGGAAAAAGAGGGAAAAGAGGGAAAAGAGGGAAAAGAGGGAAAAAGAGGGAAAAGAGGGAAAAGAGGGAAAAGAAGGAAAAGAGGGAAATGAGGGAAAAGAGGGAAAAGAGGGAAAGGAGGAAAAAGAGGGAAAAGAGGGAAAAGAGGGAAAAGAGGGTAAAGAGGGAAAAGAGGGAAAAGAGGGGAAAGAGGGAGAAGAGGGAAAGGAGGGAAAAGAGGGAAAGGAAGGAAAAGGAAGGAAAAGAGGATAAAAGAGGGAAAAGAGGGTAAAAGAGGGAAAAGAGGGAACGGAGAGAAAAGAGGGGGGAAAGAGGGAAAAGAGGGAAAAGGGTGGGATGTGGATGAAAGGGCAGATGACGCCCTTTCAGGTGATAAGAGGGCCCACGTCAAGGATCTCCCCGAGGCATGCGCGCGAGTAGGCTCGGAATGGCTGCGACATATGAGAGAGGGGGAAAGGGCTGTGGCGTAGGCAAAGGCGAAGAATGACGGGTGAAGCGGGGAGAAGGGTGTGTGGAGCTTGGGGCACAAGGTCGAGTAGGCTTGGAATGGCTGTGAGATCTGTGAGGGGGACCATGTTAGTCAGAGGAAGAGAATCCCGAGAAGGAAAAGGTACAGCACCGCGCAACACCGCACAACACCGCTCTCACCTGCACGCAGCACCGCACACCACCGCATACCGCACCATGAAACCACCACACAGCACCGCACAGCACCGCTCTCAACCCACCTGCACACGGTACACAATAACGTTGCTGGTGTTCCATATACGCAGTATCGGCTCATCCACTCGATGCACGTACAGCCGATACCCCCTCCCTTTGGCCCCTCCACCCGACCGCAGGATTGTGCACGCATATTTGGGCCCAAACAGGAGCCCTCGCTTGAGAGTGACGTGGTTCTGAAGCTCGAGAATAACGGTGGTGGAGGGGGGATAGAGCCGGCGTTGCTTGAAATCGGCCTCTGTGGTGACGCGGATTAGAACAGCGGAGGCCAGGGGGGAGCACGCTGATCCTGAAGGAAAAGGGGAGGGAGGGAGGGAGGGAGGGAGGGAGGGAGGGAGGGAGGGAGGGAGAGGGGGGCTGGGGAGAGAAGGGGTGTGATGCGAGGTGTCTTTGCAAGTCCTGGGATGAGGATTTGCACGGCTGAGCTGAGACCAGGGGGGAGCATCACACCACACCCCTTCTCCCCTTAGCCGTGCTCCCGGATTAGAACGAACGGCTGAGGCAAGGAGGGGGCATGCTGATCCTCCTACAGGAGAGGAGGCATGGGAAGAGGGGAGAGTTGAGGAGAGGATTCTATAGGATGGGGTGGGGTGTTGCTATAGGATAGCAACTATGATAATGGTCGGCAAGGTGGCAACTGAAAAGATTGGCAGCGACGCTGCGTTGTGCCACGTCAACATTGCATTAGCACAGTGACCTAACCTCACCTTGCTTAGTGCTAGCATCAGCAGCAAACACTGAAGCAAAGCCAGCAGAGTCAGGCTCAGCAGCAGATTGAGGCTCGGAAGAAAGTAGCTCTGCAGGTACAGCACGAGCGTCCCGCGCCAGGGACTCCTCCAACCAAGCCATCGTTGCAGGCTCGGACCGAACCTGCTGCGTCAGCCACGGATTCATCCACTCCTGAGGCTCGGCCCATCTCAAAAGCTGTGACTGTGTCTGTTGCTGTGCCTGTGCGCGGTGTGACCGTATTGAAGGCGACTCTGAATGCGACTGTATTGTAACAGATCGTGGACTGTCCGTATCGTATCTGAAACCATCCTCGTTAGTGTATGAACTCGCTGATTCGGTAAAAGCGGTTATATTTCTATGCCATGCACCAGTGCTCTGATGCAGGTGGTACAGCGACGAGTGGCGGGCCGGCTCGTGAAACGCGCTCCTGTGGCCTGGGAAAGGGAAGGGCAGGGAGACAAAGGCATGAAGGAGTGAAGGCTTTTGAGGACGAGAGAGAGAGAGTTATTAGGCGCCTCAAAAGACGAGTGGCGGGATGGCTCGCTCCTGTGGCCTGGGAAAGGGAAGGGCAGGGAGACAAAGGCGTTAAGGAGTGTAGACGTTGGGGAACAGTCCGAAAGAGAGAGGTTCAGAACGTATGTACAATATAAGCAGCAAGACGCAAACGTTCGAGAGGTTTGGATGGAGGAATATAAGCAGCAAGAGGCAGCAGAACAAGCACCGACGCCACAGACTGATCGAGTTTAGGACTCACAACTAATGAGACGTCTCATAAGTCAACTACACCACAACCTGATTGAATGTCCAGGTTATGACTCTTGAGGCGCCTCAGAAGTCGTCTCCTTATCGAATATCCAGGTTATGACTCTTGAGGCGCCTCAAAAGTCGTCTCCTTATCGAATATCCAGGTTATGACTCTTGAGGCGCCTCAAAAGTCGTCTCCTTATCGAATATCCAGGTTATGACTCTTGAGGCGCCTCAAAAGTCGTCTCCTTATCGAGGATCCTGTTGGAATCACGGAACAGGAATGAATGAACTAGCAGTGAAATGAGTACAAGTACTTAACCCTAGAATTGTGTACCTCTTATAGGCTAACCCACTGTAGCCTAAACTAACACAACATATATAATGTTTGACACACCCCCATAGGCAAAGTGGGGGAGAACTAGGGGTCACAAGACCAGTCAAGGCAAAGCAAGACAAAACAAGCTCAGGGTGGATCTCAAGGATACCACACAAATTCCGAGCACAAGCAAGTGGTCACAAGACCAGTTCACATGCAGGTTTATAATAGAGGCAAAAGGTACAATGATCACAACCTAACAAGAGTAAACATGCAGGTATATATATAGAGATCACAGTACAAACAGACTCAAGAAGTAAGCAAATGAGGTCTAGTAGGCACAAGGCCTAGAAGAGTGCAAAAGCGCTGATGGTCACAAGGCTGAAGCGCCTTGGTGAACACATCAGCAGTGTTGGCCTCAGAGGCCACGAAACACAGGCGAAGCTGACCACGCTGCTGCAGCTCTCGAGCAAGGAAGTAACGCAGAGCAATGTGCTTCGTTCTCTACTCCAGTCTGTGCTCCTCACACAAGGCAATGGCTGCCTTGTTGTCGACGTACAGCACTGGAGGAGAACGAGGCTGCTCTCCAAGGTCGGTCAGCAATTAGGTGAGCCAGCGTAGCTCCTGGGCCGCCATGGCTGTGGCGCAGATCTCAGCCTCACAACTGGAGCTGACAACAGAAGAAGAGCGAGTAGAACGCCAAGAAACAGAACCAGAGCCAAGACTGAAGGTGTAACCCTGGGACGACCGTTGAATAGATTGGTCGTCTGCCCAAGAAGCGTTTGAGTGCCCAGTGAGAACAACTGGGACTCGCCCTCCAAGCACTAGCCCCATGCCAGACGTACTGCACAAGTAGCGCAACACCCTCTTAGCTGCATCCATGTGCTCCTTCCCGTGACGGCCGGGAGCGACATAGCGTGCAAGAATGCTGAGAGGGTATGCAAGGTCTCGTCGAGTGCAGGCTATCAGATACATGAGGCAACCCACAAGCTCTGGATACGGGCCACTCGGCTCTACGGACTCATCCGAAGGCAGAGCTGAAAACGAGTGATCGGTAGGCAGAGGAGTGGGCTGAGGCGAGGAGTACCTGAAGCGGAAGCGCTGAAGGACCTGCTGCACCATGTGTGACCGAGTCAGGGTAATGGTGCGGCGTGCTCTGTCCCGGGTGATCCGCAAGCAAAGATAGCTTGTCAGTTCACCCATCTCTGTGCACGTGTGTCTCTTCTGCAGCTCCGACTCCACGTGGGCGAGTGGCACAGTGTCAGCAGTAGCAAAAACCAAGACGTCGACGTACACAAGGACGTAGAACGGCGGCAGTGAGGTGTCGGTGCGTAGAAACAGCGACGGGTAAGAAGTAGAAGGCGCGAACCCAAGAGCCGCAAGCGTAGTCCTCAGTGTGTCGTGCCACTCACGAGGCGCCTGACGGAGACCGTAGGCTGGCCGTCGGAGGCTCCACTGGGTACCAGGAGGGAACGACCCAGTGAAGCCTGGTGGACGGCGCAGCCAGATCTCCTCGTGCAAGCTGCCCTGCAGGAAAGCAGTGCTGAAGTCAAGCGAGTGGAGCTCGTAGTCACGCTGAGCGGCGACGTGCAGTAGAACCCGAAGAGTGGTCATCTTCGGGGTCGGGGAGAAGGTCTGGAAGAAGTCAACTCCCTCTCGCTGACTGAAGCCTCGTGCAACGTAACGCGCCTTGAAAACAGGCGGAGAGCCCGGCGGCCGCTTCACTCTGAAAATCCACATGCCACTGACGATGTTCGCCCAAGGCGGGGGAACCTCGTCGACGTAGGTGCCTGTGGACTTCCAGGAAGCCATCTCTGTGTCCATGGCTGACTGCCACTGAGAGGAGTAGGGACCGGCCATCGCCTTTTGCGTAAGAGCGTGGGGTCGGGATGTCTGGTGCATCCGGGTCTCCCTCAGGGGCAACAAGCATGGACACGAGATGGGGCAAAGCGGCAGCAAAGCACTCAAACTCCTCCTGCCTGTCCTCAAGAACGTCAGTGCCAAGAGCACACTCACCCCCGACGGACAGAGGACAGATAGACTCAGACTCAACAACTAGGCTAGCAGCGTAGTCTAGACGACAGCGAGCAGCAAAGTCGACAAGCTCAGCAACTAAGGCAGACGCAGCAGAAGACTCAATAGTAGCCAGGAGACGCGTGACAGTAGGGCTGGCAGCACGAAGAGAGTCTGACCCAGGGTCAGCAAGAGCAGGAAGAGAAGAAGCAGGAGGAGACGGCAGTTGGACACGCTGTGGAGCAGTGGACGAACGAAGCGCCATCCGGTGAGTGCTTGGGACAACTGGAAGACTCTGACGCTGGACACGACCGCTCGAGAGAGTAGTGCGGACAGGAAACGCAGGGCGAGACTCAGGCTCACGACGCTCAGTAAGACCTCCAGTCGGATCAGTGTAAGGAGCAGGACCAGGGAGAGAGGAGGCAGACGGTAGCTGCGAGTGCAGCTGGACAGACGGAGGACACGCTAAGGAGAGAGGAGGACAAGGAGGAGGGAGCTGACCAAGAACCTGCTGCAGGAGCGGAACGAAGTACGGCCGGGACCGAGCAGCGACACCAGAGTCAGCAAAGACACTCGCCCTAGGGTCCGCAGCAGCAGCGGCAACTCCACCACACGGGTCCTCAGCACGAGCTGCAGCTCCAACGCCCGGGTCCGCAGTACCAGCAGTAGCTCCAACGCCCGGGTCCTCAGCACTAGCAACAGCTCCAACGCCCGGGTCCGCAGCACCAGCGGCAGCTCCAGCGCCCAGGTCCTCAGCACCAGCAGCAGCTCCAACGCCCGGGTCCGCAGCACCAGCGGCAGCTCCAACGCCCAGGTCCTCAGCACCAGGAGCAGCTCCAACGCCCGGGTCCGCAGCACCAGCGGCAGCTCCAACGCCCGGGTCCTCAGCACCAGCAGCAGCTCCAACGCCCGGGTCCGCAGCACCAGCGGCAGCTCCAGCGCCCGGGTCCTCAGCACCAGCAGCAGCTCCAACGCCCGGGTCTGCAGCACCAACGGCAGCTCCAACGCCCGGGTCCTCAGCACCAGCAACAGCTCCAACGGCAGTGGGGTCCGCAACACGAGGCACGCCACTCCGAAGAGTTCAGCGCCGCTCGTACCACTCACGGATCCGCTCGCGGGAGGGGAGCTCCCTAACGGGAGAAGAAGCACTAGCACCAGTCCCAGCAGTACGTCCGGCACGAGTGGAACCTCTCCGGAGGCTGCTGTACTCTAAGTACCACGTACGCAGCTGCTCCGAGGAGAGGGCTCTTCCAGGTGTAGGACTCCCAGGCCCAGTACCTCCAGACCCAGAACCCCCAGACTCCGGACTCTGCGGCTCAGCACCACGAGGCTCCACACCCCCAGGCTCCACACCCCTAGGCTCCACACCCCCAGGCTCCACACCCCCAGGCTCAGCACCCCCAGGCTCAGCACCCCCAGCAGGACGAGAGTCGACAGCTACCTCAACAGGCTCAACCGGGTCTACCTGAGACACAACTGAGGGAGCGGCACCCTGAGGGGGGAGGGGGTCTGCAACAGCAGCACGTGACGCGAGGAAGAGAGGCGGGGGGGGAAGCGGGGCAGTGCGGTAGGGGAAGAGGCGGTAGTAGGGGACGGACTCGTCAAAAGTGACGTCCTGGGAGGGCAAGACTCGGCGCGAGGCGGCGTGGTAAAACTGCCAACCAGACGCGTCCGGGACAAAGCCGAGGAAGAAGCAGGGAACAGCACGGGAGGAGAGCTTGTCCGCAGACGAATCGCGGACAAAAGCTCGAGACCCCCAGACCCGGAAACGCGACGCATCGCCAACCTCCCCCGTCCACATCAGCGTGGGCGAGATCTCCGGCAAGGAGACACGGGGCCAGAGGTTGAACTGATGCGCAGCGTACCGGACCGCAAACGGCCACAGAAAGTGGGGGGCAGCCGCATGGATCAAGGAGGTACGGGCGACCTCCATGACCAGGCCAATGCGGCGCTCCGCAACCCCATTCCGCTGTAGAGAAGCCGGAAGCGTGAACGACTGCTCAATGCCGTGCTCAGCACAGTAGGCTGCCAAGAGGTCGGAGGAGAACTCACCACCTGTGTCAGAGTGCAAGCTCAGGACAGGAAAGTC